GCAAGATGTTCGGCAAGACATCTGTCACTGTTGTAGTAATAAGTCTTTGATGTTGAGAACACTGGCAATCTTTCTCTCACAATGAAGCCAGATGTCAATGTAGTGTCGTGTGTGAGTGTTGTGCATGAGTCGCCTGTGTGTTTGTGTGCAGTCTTCCAGTCACGAGAGAGTGTGTACTTGTAGTAGTGTTGTCTGCCTTTGTAACACCTATCAACAAGTGATGCGTGGAATTCTACTGTTAAATCGCTTGACATGATGTAGAGACCATGTGCATTGAGTGCAAACAGCAAAAGTGTCAAAAGAAGCATTGTACAAATGTTGGACTTGTTTGGTTTGTTTGCTTTTAAGTTTGACAGCACTTCGTGTGGTTTGCTGTTTGTTTTGGATGAACCAATTTCGATTGGTCACTTGCAGTGCTGTTGCCGCGGGTTCATCGTTTTCAAAGTCAACAACATGCAACAATTTTGTTTCAAGTGTAAAATTTGAAAATAACAAAGAAAAACATGAAATGGCAGTCCATCACTTTTTGTGCGAAAAATGAAATTGTTTTGTTGTTGTTGGTTCATTCTTTCAACAAATGTTGTTAAAATAACAAACGAAGACAAACAGCAACATAACATAATTCATCAAGAAGGTTGAGAGGGCAATTTGCATTGAATCGAAAACATTGAGACATGCAATATCACCAAAATAGAACGAATAACATTTCAACTTGTCAAGTCAACAACAACAACAAATGGTTTTGTGTTTTGTGTTTATCAAATGTTGTATCAAAACTTGTAATATTGAAATATTAACAAAGAACTTGACATTGACCAATCAAATGAAGATTCTTGTTGATGTGTTACGAATGTTGAGAAAATATTTCAGCACAACATTTGTGGCTTCATCTCTTATCAATGAAATATGTGAATGTTGTGTGAGAGGTCATGGTGATATTGTGTTGCGGGTTGTAAAGCAGAAGATGCGAGGTACCAATGACAACAGAGTGAAAGCACTTCTCCTTTCACATTTCATTGCAACACAAACAAACTACAAGCTGTTCAAACACATCAAAGTAACAAAATGGAAGTTGTGTGAATGTGAAAAGAACACAACATTTGCAATGGAAAGCAAAGAAGTGCGGTGTTTGTACACAATTTACTCACAATATGTTGTGCACTTCCACGAGTTTAATAGCAATTATAACGATTATTTAAACAACTTGAAAATAACACAAAACAACACAACTAACAAAGTTGATATTCACGCAGACAGAAATGAAGATGTTAACATGTTTAACATAATGAGAAAAAGTGCAATGCGGCTGTTCTCAATTTGTGATTTCTTCATGACCACATTTATAGAAGGGAAGTCAACCAACACGTTTTTGAAAATTGCCGTGTCGATGTGTTATTGTGATATGAAACGTCTTTTACAAGTTGTATCAACGTGCATAAAAATTGAAAATCGAATGTCAAATGACAACACAAAAGACAATGATAAAACATTTGGAGTTGAATACATGAGATGTCGAATGTATTGGATCACACAACAGCTTTCAATAGAAGGTGTTGGAATTGTTTTGAAGACAACACAAACACAAAAAGTGAAATCAAAACAATTCAAAGTTCACTTGAGAAAAACAAACAACAAAAAGCACATCAAACGGGGGTTTCCAAGATGAAGTCAAAGTTGTTATATGTTATGTTATAATTAATTATTATGTTCTATCAAAGATGAAAATAACACAATTGGTATAATAGTTTAAAATGAAAGTTTTGCATCATTGAAATGAAAAATATAAAAAGTTTTTAATAATTTAATAAAATTAATAAAATTTATTATAAAATTATTAAAATATAAAAATGAACCAATGATTTATAATCATTAATATACTATATATTATACTATAATAATACTATACTATCTAATAAATCTAAACTTGAATTAATAAATTAATAAATAAATCAATAAAATAAAACAAATAAAATAGATGGGGTGTGACGAATACATCAATGTGTATGTCCGCGACTTTGAGACGACAGCTGCAAACGTGACACTTCTTGAAAATGCACTGAGTGAGCTGTGTGTTCACCGCAGTTGTGTAGTTTTGATGACGCATGGCGCTGTTTTTACAACGACTCTGAGTGACCTTCAAACGATCATGACAGCGCCAACGCTTCAAGTCTTCACGATGTGCCCATTGTATAGAAGTGTCCATCGCAGTGCATTGGAGTACATTATATTCACCAATTGTGTTCTCACAAAGGAGATAGTTGATTACTTCATGCAGTTCAGTGTTGTTGTGAGTAGTCTTGCCAACGCGTCGTTTAGTGTTCTTCTTGACAAACGGCTTTCCGCACAGGTGCAACGTCATTGTGATGATTTATTTGTCACTCCTCCACAATTTCGAAGTGAACAGATCGGATTTGGTCTTCGTGTTGTTCTTCCACAAGTTGCCATCACACGAGAGTTGTTCGACTATTTTGCGTCTTTTGGGTGTGTCGTCAGTTTTCATGAAAAAGTCGCAATTAAACACAACAGGCGAGTTCTTCATGTTGCGTACAACACGAGAAGTGATGCTGAGAGGTGTTACAGCTGTCTGTCTGTCGGTAATGTGTTTGGTGAAAGGTGTCCCGTCACGGCGAGTCGGGTGTATATAGTAGAGAGTGACTTGAAGGAAGTGTGTGAGTCTGCCATCACCAGTGAGTTGCTGTGTGCATTTCCAAAGGAGTGGCGACTCGACGACATCAATGGCGAAATCTTCAGTGTTTTTGCACAGAACATCCGAACACCATCATTTCTTGAGAAACTGCGAAAAACACGAATTTTTGTGAATTGCGAGAAGGAAGAGATCTTTGGCATTGTCGATTTCTTGAACGCAAAAAACAACACAAAGTCGTCAAAAAACAGTTCAACTGCAACGAGTGAACACGACATGAAATACGAGAAGTACAACACAATGCAAATAATCGTCAACATGAAGAATGGCGTCAATGTTGTTGGATTTGGAAATGCAGCAAAAGTGTATGTCGTCGCAGACTTCGAACAAATTGTGCTTGAAACAACATTCAACCAAATTTTATTCACAAAATTCCACGAAAACAGATTCATGGCACTCGCTTTCAAAAAATCAAAGAAAATCAAAGCACAAGACGACAAGACTGTCTATGTCGGCAATGTCAAAGATAACGACAACGGTGCTGCCGTTGCTGAAGCACTCGGTCACTTTGGGAGAATCATGACACTCAACGTCGTCAACAGAAAAGACAACTCTAAAATCGCCTTTGTCGGTTTTTACAATAAAGAAGACGCACAAAAAGCAATCGACAAAAACAGACTCCAAAATGGTTTGTTTGTTGCACCTAAGAAATAATTTCGTGTTGGTATTGTTATTTTTAATGTTGTATTTTAATGGTATCATTGTAATCAAACAACTGTTAATTTAAACCGGTTCTATTGTTTTAATGTCATTTACTGATGTATCTATTTACCAAACACCATCTTCCCGTTTACTTAAATAGAGCATACTATATCAAATCACTATTTTACTATTAATTTAATTATTCTATTTATAAAACATGTTTTGTGTTGATCTTTCTCAATAATCAGAAAATCCAATTCAATGAAAACAATCAAATGCACTGTTCTTGGCGATGGTGGTGTTGGAAAGACATCTCTAATTGTCACATACACAACAGATGTGTTCCCAGATGAATATATACCAACATGCTTTATTGACTTCGGTAAAATAGTCTTAATTGAAAAAACACCTGTCGATTTAAAGTTGTGTGACTTTGCAAAGTATACAGACTATGACAGAATAAACCGACTCATAGATCAAAATACAGACGTGTTTGTACTGTGCTTTTCGTTGGTATCACACACATCACTCGACAACATTGTCACAAAGTGGAAACCAGAAGTTGCTTACAAATTCCCAAACGTGCCGTGTCTGCTTGTTGGTACGAAACTTGATTTAAAATATGACATATACACCATCAACAAACTCACTACAAAAGCAACACATGTAATAACAACAGAAGAAGGGCTGGATGCTGCAAAACGCATTGGAGCTTACAGATACATTGAGTGCTCTGCTTTGAGTCAAGTAAACTTGGAAAATGTGTTTAATGAAGCAATTAAAATAGTCTTGGCTCAAAAAAGTAACAACTAAAAATATAAAACAATAAACAATCAATGTTTTGTTGTTTGAATTATTTTATTATTTTGTAAATCACTGTTAAACTATTTTAGAGCGAGTCTATCAAAAAGTCATTTTTTCAAAACAATAAAATTGCCTTTTTGAATAATTAACATTTAAATTGTATTATTTTTACAAATCTAACACAACAACTTTTTCATGATGTGATTCATATTATTTGGTTTTTATTTTATTCAATAATTTTTGTTATTTTCAATGTTTTTTTTATTAAAACAAATATAAAAATACTATTATATAAACATTTTATTATTATTATTATTATTATTATTATTATTATTATTATTATTATTATTATTATTATTATTATTATTATTATTATTATTATTATTATTATTATTATTATATATATATATATATATATATATATATATATATATATATATATATATATATATATATATATATATATATATATATATATATATATA